CAGAGACACAGACACACAGACACACAGACACACAGACACACAGACACACAGACACACAGACACACAGACACACAGACACACAGACACACAGACACACACACACACACACACACCCATACCCACATACCCACACCCCCACACCCCCACACCCCCACACCCCCACACACCCACACACCCACACACCCACACACCCACACACCCACACACCCACCCACCCACGAACCCACGCACCCACGCACCCACGCACCCACGCACCCACGCACCACGCAACCCACGCACCCACGCCACCCACGCACCACGACCACGCACCCACGCACCCAGCACCCAAGCGCCCACGCACCGCCCACGCACCCGCCCCACGAACCCGCCCACGCACACGCCACCCGCCCACGCGCCCACGCGCCCACGCGCCCACGCGCCCACCGCCCACGCACCACGCACCCCCGCACCCGCGCACCCGCGCACCCGCGCACCCGCGCAACCCGCGCACCCGGCGCACCCGCGCACCCCACGCACCCGCGCACCCACGCACCCGCAGCACCGCGCTACCGCGCGAACCGCGCTACACGAGCCACGCGCACCCGCGCACACGCGCACCCACGCACCCACGCGCACCCACGCACCCACGCACACCCACGCGCACCCACGCACCCCCACGCACCCACGCCCACCCACGCACCCCCATGCACGCACCCACGCACCCCCACGCACCCACGCACACCCACGCACCCACGCACCCAAGAGCGTGAGGTCGTGCGCGAGCCGCTTCCCAAAGAGTCCAGTACCCCTTAATTTAAGGAATGTACCCTAAATCATATTCAGGATCCCTGCATAAAATAGGGTATATTCCTTAATGAAGAATTCTTTGGGTTCGGTTCACCCTCGAAGCGGTCAGGGCAGAGCTGCAGCGGGCACAGGGCAGTTTTGCGCCCGGAAGGTAGTTGCAACGAGATCAAACCTAAACCTTGATTCAAGGCCTGGATGCGTAGACACATGTTTCAACTGCATGTGGTCCACTTGGTAACCCGCAGTTTTTTGGTCTCAGCGGAAAGCACGTCGGAGAGTTTACGTAAATTGGCTCGCTGCGCGATGAAGGGTCAGAGGCCTGGTTACTAGCCAGAGCTCTGGTAAATAGGACCTAAGCGTTCGGGACATCAAGAAATGTCCGAAACTTACACCCAGAACTCCGGACACTAACCCTGTACAATCAGAGCCCACTCAACCTTCGCTCTCCATGGTCGAGCTTTTGGGGAATCTTCACACCCCCACAGCTCCTAGGTAAGGGTTTAGTGCTAAGCCCTCAGGACTTGTGCGGTTTGGAGTTTGGAGTCAAAGGTTTTCCAAGCGTAGGCAACCTTTAACCTTTGACCTTTGGGTTTGGGGCTTCGGGTTAAAGGTACTATAAATCCCTAAGCCGGAAACCCTCAACACTGGAAGAAAACGCAGGCATGAGCCATAGGTCAGGGATCAGGGAATTTCGTGGGCCGGTCATGTATCCGGCTGACTTAGGGTACTTGTGTCCCTCTTTGCAACTGTACATATAACCTTAGACCCACACCCTGAATTCGAAACCCTAAACCCTAAACCCTAAACCCTAAACCCTAAACCCTAAACCCTAAACCCTAAACCCTAAACCCTGAACCCTGAACCCTGAACCCTGAACCCACCAAGTTTCCTGAGCCTCGCAAGTACTTGGGGTCACAAGAGGTGCGTCGGCGAGCTCGCCGAGCACCCGGACGTGGTGACTTCCGTCAGTCTGGACTTCGCCAAGGCTTCCGAAACCCTGCTTAGGGTTTATAGGGTTTAGGGTCTAAGCCTTAATATTATTGTTTTTTTGTGTTTTTTTTGGGGGGGGGGGGGGGGGGGGGGGGGGGGGGTGTCGACCTGCGGAAGATCCTGGGGATGTGCCGTGTCGAAATCTCCTCAAGTCTCCTGACCCATTCCAGCCTGAATCCCAAAGGCCTCCACCCTTAAGCCTGACACGCCTTAGGTTTAGGGTCTAGGGTTTAGGGTTTATAGGGTTTAGGGTTTGGGTTTTAGGGCCCTCCGAAGCCCTAAATCCCTCAGCCTCTTCCAACCCTGAAGAACCCATCAACCCTAAACCCTCAACCCCACATCCCTGAACCCATCACTCCGAAACCCCTCAACTCTCAATCCCTCGACGCGAAGCCCCGAGTCCCTGAACCCCAAGCCCCTCGACCGCGAACCCAAGCTTGACCCTCAAACCCCCAAAAGCCCCCCCTAGAATCCCCAGACCCTAACCCTTGTAATTATAAGCTTCGTGGTGCTTTACTGTAACTGTAGATCCTTAGCCTTTTTGGGTTTATTGGGTTTCTTAAGAAGGGAATGTATAGCTACCCCACCAAGTGCAGCCAAGTAAGGATCCACGTGCCTGTAGAGTCTATACTTGAGCCTTAGAGGGGTTCAAGCATATTAGGTAGATGGATCCTTATTGGGTAAACCCTAGGCCCTGAACCCTAAACCCCCAAACCCCCAACCCCCCAAACCCCCCAAACCCCCAAACCCCCAAACCCCCAAACCCCCAAACCCCCAAACCCCCAAACCCCCAAACCCCCAAACCCCCAAACCCCCAAACCCCCAAACCCCCAGACCCCCAAACCCCCAAACCCCCAAAACCCCCAACCCCCAAACCCCCAAACCCCTAAACCCCAAACCCTAAACCCTAAACCCCAAACCCTAAACCCCAAACCCTAGAAACCCTACTCACTAAGTCTACCCTACCCCCCCACGACGAGGCGCAGCTGGTCACCGGCTGCCACGACGGCGCCCTCCGCACCTTTGACCTCCGCACGCAGCGCTGCTGCCAGCAGCTGCCGATGCACGAGCTGAAGTGCCCCCCAATTTTTTTTGGTAGGGTTTAGGGTTTAGGGTTTAGGGTTTGGGGTTTGGGGTTTGGGGTTTGGGGTTTGGGGTTTGGGGTTTGGGGTTTGGGGTTTGGGGTTTGGGGTTTGGGGTTTGGGGTTTGGGGTTTATGCTCATATGCGTCTACAATATCTATATAGTTTATATACACATTACGAGGGGGATGGTAGGGTTCAGGGACGAGGGTTTGAGTTTTTGCCGGATGTTTCGTTGATTGCAGGCTGAAGACTTGTGGGCTTAGGTTGGGCACCCGGAGCCAGAACCGCCCATCCCAGTGTTCGGACGTTGGGAGTGTGTGGGAGGCTTGGAATGCTGGGATTTTGTTCGCCTGACATTCAGGGTTTCAGGGAACATTTGTCTTGGTTCTGGTCTAGGGGGCTTCGAGGTTGAGCCCTCTTGCTCTGGGGCTTTGAGGTTGAGCCCTCTACGTAGGAGTTTAGGGTTTTGGTTTGGCGCTTCAGCAAGCACTGCCGCTTTCTGGGTTGCCCGCAGCCTAACACCCAGACCCCTGGGAGGATCCAAAAAATAGATCCCCTTAAGGGTTCCTAAGAATGACCCCATAGTAGGCTACTATTTGGGGGCTCTATTTTTTGGATCCTCCCAGGGGTCTGGGAACCCACAATTCCCAGAAAAAGGCATGCCGCTCTACCGTGTGAGCATTGTTTCGCGTCTTCGGGACTGGAGGTTGAGGCTTCCGAAACCCCTAGTTTTCCAACACCCTCAACCCTAAACCCTCAACCCTCAACCCTCAACCCTCAACCCTAAACCCTAAACCCTAAGGCTCTTGCTTGTTTTCTTTTGTGCCTCGCCGCGCCCGCCCACTCCGCACTCCGCGCCCTCCGCGTGGCTCAAAGGGCCGGGGGGCGCCTGGAGGGAGCGCCTGACGCTGGCGCCTGAAGTGGGGTTTTCGGGTTGAGGGATTGGGGTTTGGGGTTTAGGGTTTAGGGCTAGTGTTTGGGGTTTAGGTTTTAGGGCTTAGGGTTTGGAGTTTAGGGTTCAGGGTGTCGGGTTTGGGGCTCAGGATTCCGGATTTAGGGGTTGAGGGTTTAGGGTTTAGGGCTTAATGAGGGTTCAGGGCTTAAGGCTTAGGGCGTAGGGTTTAGGGTTTAGGGTTCCGGGTTCAGGGCTTAGGGTTTAGGTTTAAGGGTTGCGGGTTTAGGGCTTAATTAGGGTTCAGGGCGTCGGGCTTGGGTTTAGGGTTTAGGGGTTGGGGGTTTAGTGTTTAGGGGTTGAGTGTGAGGGGTTGCCGTTTTAGTCCTTTGGGGTTTTAGGGCTGTGACGCTTGATGCCTGAAATCCCGCCTCTTGGCTCGTGAGCGTGGTGCCTGCGTAGGGTTTAGGGGTTTCGGGTTTAGGGTAACCCCCGCCTTAGCCCTAAAACCGAACCCCACCCCCACCCCCGCCACCCAACGCGCCTCTTGCACATCGCTGTTGGCCTTCTTCTCTGGACCCTCATAGCACCTCCCAAATCCCAAGCGTCCCTGAACCCTAAACCCTAACCCTAAAGCCTAAACCCTAAAGCCGATAGCCGATAAAGCCCAAAGCCCAAAGCCCAAAGCCCAAAGCCTAAAGCCTAAAGCCTACAGTGTCTAGCCGCCAGAATTGTTCGTAAGTATGACCTTTTATTCGTTAGAGGGACCTCCGGCGTATTTCCGAATTTGGGGGTGCTGAGCTCCTGGATCCTAGGTAGGATAAGTTAAAAAGGGAACCCTCTTCCGGCTCTCTCAAACATTGACCTTATTGAGAGGGTCTATGTCCCCAAGGGTCCCCCTAATCCTTTTGTCTAGGTTTAGACTTCAGGTGTATTTCTGAATTTGGGGGTGTTGGGCTCCCTGGAAAACTAGGAAGGGCAGGGCTTTTTTCCGGTAGAATTCGTGCCCGGACAAAAGCCGAAGCCCTCCGTGACACATGGTGGACGCGCGCGTGGCGGTGGAGGCGCCTGGTTCGGGAACCCAGGCCCTAAACCCTAAACCCTCAGCCCTAAACCCTACTATATAGGGGTCGGAAAAATCACTAAGAATATTCTCTTATGGTCCCATGATATTATACCCATGATATTATACCCACACCCTATTCTAATTATTCAGGCTCCTACATTTCCAATCTATGCCCTCAACCCTAAACCCTACACCCTGCCCAGACTTTTGCGACTCCCGTTTCGGGTGTAGAAATGAGCAGGGAAAAGATCTCCCAATTGGGTTCAAGGATTTTTCAACCACCCAAACCTATAAACCCTGACAAGCCCCATAAGCCCTAGAAGCCCTGTAAAACCCTATAAAGCCTGTAAACCCTGAAACGGCTAGGGGTTGTAAAGGGTTTACGGTGGTCCTTCAACCCCACACCATAAAACTAGGCCCCAACACCCGAACGGCAGCCTCGACACCGGCACCCCTGCGTGGATCCAAAAAAAGGAACACCCAAATAGTACCCTGTACTACTATTGGGTCATTCTTAGGAACCCTTCAAAAGATCTCTCCCTAAATCCTAAACCCTTAACCCTAAACCCTAAACCCTAAACCCAAAACCCTAAACCCTAAACCCCAAACCCCAGGGGTCTGGGTTGAAAGGTGCAGAAGATCACCGGAGAGACCTTTCAATGCCACGTGGACTCCGACGCCACGGTGCAGCAGCTGAAGACCTCCCTCGCCAGGCCTTGGCTCTTTTTTGGGGGTTTAGGGTTTAGGGTTTGGGGTTTAGGGTTTAGGGTTTAGGGTTTTTTGGGGGGGGTCTACGTACGAGTTCTTAAACAGCGAACGCAGGTGAGATTTTGCAACCCCTTCAGAACAACTTACAGGGTTGTATCGGGGGGGGGGGGGGAAAGGACGTACCCACCTCCCCAGTAAGGCCTTCTGCTCCGGGCTTAAGATGCCGAGGTGAAATGGCACTCAAGGTGGGAAGGGCCTGCGGATTGAGGGTCCTTATGCCCCTCCACCCACCCCTAAGCTCCAAACACCCGAGGCCTGGCTGAGGGCAGTTTAGGGTTCAGGATTTAGGGTTAGGGTTTAGGGCTTAGGGCTTAGGGCTTAGGGTTTAGGGTTTAGGGTTTAGGGTTTAGGGTTTAGGGTTTAGGGTTTAGGGTTTAGAGCCCTTGGTTTTAGGGTTCAGGTTCCCTTATCAGCCCCTTTGACCCCAAAGAGGGCACTTTTTTTTGCGGTCTAGTGAACTGAACCCTGCATGAGCCGGATGAGTCCTAGACGTATTTACGTAGGCACATGGCTTCTATCCATAGGCCCTCAAGTCACATGGCGCCCTTTCTGTCGCAGGGAAGCCAGCGTGCCTGCGCTCTGCCAGCGCTTGCTGTTGCGCGGCGTCTCCTCGGACGCCGCGCGTGAGCATCTCCTGCCCTTCTTTGCCTGCCAGATGCAGCGGGCCGTCGATCTCATCGAGCGCAGGAACTTGGGCGAATTGAAAAGCCCCGCGGCTCCATGCTAGTAGCATCAGGCGTTCGGGAAGTGGGTCTACAAGGAGGGCCCGCCTTACCATACTAACTGTAGTTAAGGGACTTATAACCTAATTTAATTCCTTAGAACCCAATTTAGGGCTCTTAAAACTCCACTTATAACTAGGGGGCCCCTCCTTGTATGTCCGACCAGGCATGTTTCCAAGACCCGTACAATTTCGTTTTCTGGAGGCTTCGGGGGTTGGAGAAGCTTGAGCTTGAAGGGCTCTTTGTGCTCCGTGCCTGATAGAGGGTTTGCCTACACGTTAAGGGTCCATGTTCCCAGAAAGTATGTGCTTGGGCCTTCAAGTATTTCCCCTTTATGGTAGCGTAAAGTCCCAAGTATATACATGGACCCTTTAGGGATAGGCCCCTGCCAGCCCTAAACCTTGAACCCTGAACCCCGAACCCCGAACCCTGAAGAACCCTACTTGGAGGTTCATGGTACTTACTAACCAGTTATAACTGTACTGATAACCCTACTTATAGAAAAGGGCCTTCTAGGGGTTATCCCAATTATAAGTAGGGTTGTAAGCCCAGTTTTAAGTGGCTATTAAGTCCCATGAACCTTCAAGCAGGAACCCTAAAACCCTAAAACCCTAAACCCTAAACCCTAAACCCTAAACCCGGGAGCCAGAGAAGATCCGAGGCTTGATGCGGCCGCCGCCCGACCTCCTCGATTGCTGCCGCGTCGTCCTTCACATGTTGGCTCCTTGGCGACCACATGGGTTTGGGGTTTAGGGTTTAGGGTTTAGGGTTTAGGGTTTAGGGTTTAGGGTTTAGGGTCCACATGAGCCACCACTTTTATTACGTTGCAGGAGGTTTCTTGTGGCGGAGATAAAAACCCACGTTCATGCCTAAAACCTCGGAAAGCGATAGGCCCTCCCCCCCCCCTAAGCGATACCCTCAATCTTGAATCTGGAAGTCGTTCTGCAACAATGTCATGATTTCGTGGTTGGGTCTTATTCCAGAGCGATACTCAAAGCCATACCCCTATGCTACCCGTTTGGCCCAGGTTGAGGGTTCGAAGTTTAGGATTTGGATTTCTGATGCGGGCAGCGAGAGCTCCAGCTCCTAGAAAAGGAGCACTCTCACTCTTTAGTCTACAGGTCCTAAAGAAAGGAAACGGGTTTAGGAATTCAAGTGTATTTTTAGGATCTCATAAGCAGTAAAGCGATAGGTTTTCGTAGTAGCATTGACCCTATGGCATGTACATAAGATTTTTTGCAGCTGCTCACATGGGGGTTTCCGAATTTAGGGGGTACGTTATTGGGGTCCTTGTTTATAAGGGAGTCCTACTATTGGAGTCTCTACTAGGGGTCCCTTAATTTTTTTGGTAAACCCCCACATGGTGAGTTCTCAAAATTGGGGTTCTTTTTTGGGTTTAGGGTTTAGGATTTAGGTTGAGGGTCAGGAGCTCGGACCCAGCGAGCCCCTTTGTTTCGGGTCTAGGCTCCGTTTTGCACCCTTCAGAGCAAAAATGGTGTTGTTTTTTACTCCTAGCTTACCGTTAGGTCTAGTTGGAGACCACATGAATCCCCAAATTTGGATTTTATTCCCTATGCTCATAGAATCCATTTTGAGGTACATGGCGGTGTATGGACATAGACCATAAAACCCTAAACCCGAAAGGCTTTTGGGGTTCATTCAGACCCCGAGGTTGGGAATCCCACGATGGCTGCTTCGCGCATAGCCCACGACAAAGTCGGGCTTCCGAGGGAGACCGACTGGCGCGCCTGCTCTTCGGAAAGCATTGGGCCAGGGTGGTTTGAAGCATGTCTACTATTCGCTTAAGACCCTCCCCCCCCCCCCCCCCCCACGCCCCCCCCCAAAAAGATAACAATCCCTGCGTTGCCCCAAAAAAGATTTTTTAAAATTCTTTTGGGGGGATTCTGATGCAAATCGTACGCATTCGCAGCAAGCTTTTGACCTGCACCAGATGCCAATTTCTGGATTGAGGCCAGCGCATGATGGCTTCCCCTCAAGACTTGCTCGAAGCCATGTACTCCTTCGTGGAGGATGCTTGGGGGTATTTGCAATAAGGTCTTTTTTTTTATCACATGTTTTGTGTACTTTAACTCTTAACACAAGAGCTGAAATTTTTTTGTGTACTTCAAATTCCTAAGAAACAGCTGAAATTTTCATAGGGTTCCAAGTTCATTAGAGGATGTCCGCCGTGGCCATGTGCAAGCCCAGCCCATGCAGGCTGCCGAGGAGTGGGGTCCATAGGGTGTAGGGTTTGTGGCTTGGGGTTTAGGGTTGAGGGTTGAGGGTTGAGGGTTGGGGTTTAGGAGTTTAGAGTGTAGGATTTGCAGGAGCCCCCCCCCCCCCCCCAGATCTTGCGTAGGATCTGAGGGGTGTTCTTTAACAAGCTTCCTGGGCTATGGGGGAAGCGTCATGGCTCATCAATCCTTGCAAGCTTTGAGCTTAAGAAGCCTTCTTCGGTGACTGCGTGAAATACCCTAAGCCCTCAAACCCTGAACCCCAAACCCGAAACCCCAAACCCCTAATAACCCAGAACCCCCAAAGAGGAGGCACGTGAAGGCCCAAGTATTCTTTAATTTAAGTACATCGACCCTTAGGGTAAACCCTAAACCTTAAACCCTAAACCCCAAACCCTAAACCCCTAAGCCCTCCCTTAAGAACCCAAAACCTACTTTTTGTAGTTACCCAAGAATCTCGTAAAAGGTTTTTTGTAATATAGAAACCTGCAAAAGAGTAGGTTTTGGGTTCTTAAGGTAATTACCCTAAACCCTAAACCCTAAACCCTAAACCCTAAACCCTACACCCTACACCCTAAACCCTAAACCCTAAACCCTAAACCCAAAACCCAAAACCCAAAACCCTAAACCCGAAGTAGGAGCTCGCGGCCCAACTCGGGCCGCGCTTCACGCCGGGCCTCCAACGACGCCTCAGCGGTGCCGGCGCCGCCTTCTGCGCGCCTTGGGTTTAGAATTTCAAATTTAAAGTTTAGGGTTTAGGGTTTAGGGCCGCCCTCAAAGCCCGTAAGGAAAGGTTTGAGGGTTGAGGTTTAGGGTTTAGGGTTTAGGGGTTTAGGGTCAAGGTGTAGAGTTCAGGATTTAGGGTGTGAGGTTTTCAGGGTTTAGTGTTCAGGGTTCAGGGTGTCGGGACCACATGAACTCGCAAATTGGGGTCATATACCCTGCACTAGGATCATCACTATCAAGGGTCTATGAACCATAAGCCCTCTTCAGGTTAACCTAGTCCCCAAACGAGGGCCCAGGGAGTTCTGTTCTGGGTTCATAGACCCTAAACCCGAAACCCTAAACCCTAAACCCTAAACCCTAAACCCTAGGGAGGTCTGGGTTGCACGAATCTGGGTTTGGGGGGGCAGAGCTGCTCTTCGCACCTGACGAAGCTTTCGAGCCTCTTCTGCATCCCAACCTCCACAGCTTCTGCGCCATACGTGTTACCAAACCCTGCAACCTTAACCCCAAACCCCAGACCCTAAACCCGAAGAAGTTTCCTCCCGAGGCCCTTGAAGACCAAAGGAACCCCAAAATTGGGGAGCATATACTCTCTACTACTCGAATTCCTTTTAAGGTATACAAACCCTAAGCCCAAAACCCAAAACCCTAAACTCAACCCTTTTCGGGTTCCTGTAGTCCCCTAAACTCTAAACCTTACCCTACACCCTGAACTAACCTTACCCTACACCCTGAACTAAACCCTTCTAGGGCTCATGTCGTCCCCTAAACCCTAAACCCTAAACCCTATACCCTAAACCCTAAACCCTAAACCCTAAACCCTAAACCCTAAACCCCAAACCCTAAACCCTAAACCCTAAACCCTAAACCCTAAACCCTAAACTAAACAAACAGCCCCTTTAGGGCGGGCTCATGTAGCCCCCGAAACCCTAAACCCTAAACCCTAAACCCTAAACCCTAAACCCTAAACCCTAAACCCTAAACCCCCAAGGAGTGGGCCTTGGCCGCCCTGACGTTCTATCGATTGCACATGGCCGCCGCTGCTGGAAACGACCCCTGGGGGCCATGGGGTTTGGGGTTTAGGGTTTAGGGTTTCGGGTTTCGGGTTTAGGATTTCGGGTTTAGGGTTAGGGTCTCCGAACATGAGGGGTTTAGGGCTAAGCGTTTCCGAACGTTGCAGGTTTAGGGTTTAGGGTTAGGGTTTATAGGTTCGGGTTTGCTCTTCGATTATTTCCCGTGTGGTTAGTCCCCCTGGAATTAAAGGCACCCAATCTTCGAAAAGCACGAAGTAAGTTGTGTCATCTTTTCTGTATTATTTGGCGCTGAAGGTGTAGAGCCTAGTAGTTCTCAGGCGACTTAGAGAATTTAGGGTTCATGTAACAAACCCTAAACCCTAAACCCTAAACCCTAAACCCTAAACCCTAAACCCTAAACCCTAAGCCCTAAACCCTAAACCCTAAACCCTAAACCTGTAGGGGCTGTCGGTTCAATCAAGGGATGAAGACGAGTACCCCTAAAGTTGTACCCCTACAGGTTCCCCTTGACATACTCCTTATATGGCCCTTATATTCCTCTAGGGATCCTTAAAAGGGACCCCAAAACCCAACCTTTTGGTTCCAAGGTAGGGTTTAGGGTTTAGGGTTTAGGGTTTCGGGTTTGGGGTTTAGGGTTTAGGGTTTAGGGGTTTAGGGGTTTAGGGGTTTAGGGTTTAGGGCCCCTAGATTCAAGGTTTGGTTGTACTTAAAAAGCACGCGGCAACCAGAGACTCTCAGGCAAGTTGCTAAACCCCAAAACCTCACAACCCCAGCGCCCTTAAAACACAGCAAATGGCCCTTGACCACGCGCCCCACAACCCGAATACACCTCCAGAGCCCTCAACCACCCAAATTAGTATATCCTAGCCCCAAACCCCGGGCCCTTCGACAAAACCTGTATAAAATCCTATAATTACCCCTAAACCCTAAACAGTGCCTAAACCCTAAACCCTAGACCCTAAACCGGTTACATAACTCCGCCCTGCGGATCCTCAGGAAGTGTCGGTGGAGTTGGAGGACCCTGTCCCGGTACAGTTGTACTTGGCATGCAAGAGCTGCTTTGCCCGCAAGTGGGCTTTGCGACGTTAGCTTTGGGTTGGGGGTATAAACAGGGTTTAGGGTGTAGGGTTCAGGGTTTAGGGTTTAGGGTTTCGGGTTCAGGGTTTAGGGATTGGTGTTTAGGCTTTCGGGTTCAGGCTTTAGGGATTAGGGTTTAGGCTGCAGGGTTTAAGGTTTAGGGATTCTGAGGGGTATCGGCTCTATGGACGTCGTAGAACTCATGGAGTTTCTATGTGAGCTTGACAAGAGCTCGGTTCAGCCTGAAAGGGTTGTGGGTTTAGGGTTTAGTGTTTAGGGTTTAGGGTTTAGGGTTTAGGGGCACAATCAATCACCTTACCATAAACCCTACAAAGCCTAGACTTACCCCTCCTGGCCCCGCAGGTACCCGGCAAGACGGGTTGGAGGTTTGTAGGGTTTAGAGTTGGCTTTCTCAAGCAAAACACGGAGTTCATCCTACGTCGAAATTCCGGCCCCGGGATATGGTTTCAGGTTTAGGGTTTAGGGTTTAGGGCGACGGGTTTAGGGTTTAGGGCTAAGGGTTTAGGGTTTAGGGGTCCTTCTCACCCGAAAAACCACCAGGTGTTGACGGCTTGCTGTCCCTCGTGGCCGACATTGAGCCAGCCGTGAAGGTTCCTTGGTAGCGCAGTGGTACCCCTTTGCCCTTTTTTGGTTCTGGGTTCCCTTACAGGGTAACTTTGGTGTTTAGGGTTTAGGGTCTGGGGCTTGGGGTGTAGGGTTTAGGGTAGTATCATGGGCCCTTAATATGGTCCCCTTACCTCCTTTAAAGGCTTCTGAAGCTTGATTCATAGGGTATATAAGAGCTACACAAGGGGTCCCCATGTAAAGGGCCCATACTAAGGGAGCATGTAAATACCCTAAGATAACCCTAAACTCTACACCCTAAACCCTAAACCCTAAGCCCGAAACCCTAAACCCTACGATATGAGGGGGGCTGAGAGTTCGGGTTTACAGGGCTTCTGCTTCAGAGGGTTTAGGGCTTGATTTTTTAGAAGGTTTAGGGTTTAGGGTTAGGGTTTAGGGTTAGGGCTTAGGGTTTGGGGTTTAGGGTTTAGTGTTTAGGGTCTAAGGGTCGAGGGCTGAGTAGGATTTAGGCTTAAGGGGCTTACCCCCCAAACCTAGGCCGCGAAAGAGCTCTTGAAACTTCAAAGGCAGTCGCCCTCAGTAGCCCTGAGAAGCCCCGACAAGCCCTAAGCCCTGAACCCCCCTAAACCCTAAACCCGAAACCCCAAACCCTAGACCAGAGAAGTTGACAGGCCTGGAGTCGTCTCAAACACCAGGGCCCAACTTAGGCTGAGAGGGTTTAGGGTTTAGGGTTTAGGGTTTAGGGTTTAGGGTTTAGGGTTTAGGGTTCAGGGTTTAGGCTTCATGGTTTAGGAAACCCTAAACCCCAAGCCCAGTGTTTTCGGGTTTGCGTTTTGCCCCTTTTTGTGGCTTCGTGGGTCCATAGGATTTGAACGGGGTGAACAAGTTTGTGGGCTCTGTTGGGTCTGTAAGGCTCGTATATGAGCGGGTTTGTGGTTTGTAGGGTGCATGGGTCTTTTGGACTTTTAGGGCTCTTTGGCAGCGCAACCCAGTCACGGTTATGGCGGATGCAGGGAGCACCGTGCGTGGCGGATCTTGGTCGAAGACTCCCAAAAACAGGGTCCTTTCGGCTGCGTCCTGGCCGAGCAGCGTCAGTTCTACGAGACTCTGTGTGGTAATGATATGGAGATCTCGTTTGCAGCGACCCAGCACTGGCGGCAGTTCAGCCAAGAACAAAAGAAGCCTTACGCAGAGCAGTGGGTGGCAAAGCTGGAGGCCGGGCATGGAGTTGACAAGGCTCTCTTCTCCCAAAAAGGGTACCCTTATTGCCATCCAGTTTGCAATTTGTTGGTTCTAGGTTCCCTTACAAAGAGACAAACACCCTTGAAGGGCACCCCTACTATGAATGAAACAGGGTTTAGATGACTGTTATTGGTGAGTGTATATAAGGTTCCTGTTTAAAATTGGTGAGTGTATATGCCGGGTGTCCTTTTGGGGGTACAAGAACTAAAAACCCTACTATCAGATGATTTCTGGGCTACCCAGGTTCTCTCCTCTGCCACGGCAGGGAGTGCTCTTCAGCCCCTCGCCAGAAGCGGTGGAGCCTTTTATGGGCCTTATGGGTGACAATTTTTACGCGACAGGAGGGGCCCTTATAAGGGATTAGGGGCTACTTAGGGCATGTATGTGTATATATATATATATATGTGCTATATTTCTAGATGTATATACATAGGGGTGATATGGGGGAACAAGATGAAGGGGCCCCTTCTTGGGGTCCCTTATCTTATCCCTCAATACAGGGTTCTTGGTTCCCCCCACAACCAGAACCCCAAAATCCTGCAAGTGACGCCCTCAACCCGAAACCCTAAACCCTAAACCCTGAACCCTAAACCCTGAACCCTATTTGGGGTGTAGTTCTCTTCGGTTTGGCGCTGATCGGAGAGGTCCCTGTGCACAGAATTGAAGAGCCGCCGGCTCATGCCCGCCGACCCCACAGGGTTTAGGGTTTAGGGTTTAGGGTTTCGGGTTTAGGGTTTAGGGTTTAGGGTTTCAGGTTTAGGGTTTAGGGTTTAGGGTTTAGGGTTCAGGGTTCAGGGTTCAGGGTTCAGGGTTCAGGGTTCAGGGTTCAGGGTTCGGGGCTCCAAGGGACCCTCAGACCCTAAGACCCTAGCACCCGAACAAGACCCTAAGACCCTAACACCCTAAACACTTAAGACCCTTGCGGGGGTTGGGAGGTGAGGGGGGGGGGGGGGGGGCACAGATTGGTGAAGTGGTGGGGAGGATGTACCTGTACAAAGCCTTAAACGTAAGCTTTTTTTGAAAATGCCAAACCTATCAAAACCTGAACGAAGGCGTCACTTGAATCGGGCTAAAATCCTAAACCCTAAACCCCAAAGTCTTCAAGGGCATTTGGCAAGATGGTGGCAGGGACTTCCAGTGCCCCATACTGCTCTTGGGTCATTCGTAGGAATGCTTGAGGGGATCTACTTTTTGGATCCTCCCACAATTCGGGGTAAGCACGATAGCCAACATGATTGCCTCCATTAGGGGCACAGGGTTTAAGGCTAGTCAGAACCTAAAGCCCTAATGGCAAGGACTCACAATGAGCAGCCCCGTGAACCCTGTTTTGGGTTCAAGGTTTGGGGTATCTAGTGCTGAGGGCTTGTAGGTATTCAGGGGGTCATCGGGTGGGGGACCGAGTACAATTTAGAAGTTAGAGGTGTAAAGAGAACCGAACCTTCCGCAGTGCTAGTCGTTCCAGAAGCTTATGAAACAACCCAAACCAAACGTTGGAACATCATTCTCCCCATACCTCAAGCCCGAATCGTCCTTAAACTTTATGGAGTTTACTGTAAATGCCACAGCCTCCACCCCCAAACAGAAACCTAAAACCCTAAACCCTAACCCCTAGTCCCTAAACCCTAACCCCTAAACCCTAAACCCTAAACATCCAACACGCCTGAAACGCGAGCACCTAAAGCCCGAAGTCCCTAAACCCTAAACCCGAAACCCCAAGCCCTCGCCTTCTCCCCCCCCCCCCCACTTGAAGAAGGGGCCTGAAGCCGAGAGTTTAGGGTTTAGGGTATAGGGTTCGTGGTGTAGGGTTGCTTGGAGATATTGGTGAGTGTACGTATGGGGTGTCCTCTTTCGGATACTGACCATGAAACCCTCGTTCATATGCTAGAGGAATGTTCACTCCTGTGGTCCATAGGGGGTCCATAGGAGGTCCATAGCACATCTGCTACCTCCCCCCCACCCACTCATGCCTTGCGCGATTCAGCGATCTGCAGGAACGAGTGGAACGAGTCGTTATGTATATGTATGTGTTGGACGCATTGCTGGCTCGAAGCTAATGATTTGCACGCGGGCATGCAGGCTTTGCCGGCGCAAACGAGTGTGAGTCGGGCATGGATCTGGTGGGTTGCCCGCGCGTGTGCACGATCAGCTGTCGGGCAAGAGGTTTTGCATCCAAAGCTCGCTCTATACATATACACATGAATGTATACATCAGTGTGAACTTCTATTTGTATTTATATGTAAGTATTTATGTATATATATATATACGTATATACACACATATGCACATGTAGATTTGTTTCTTCAGACACATGTCTTTATGAATTTGCAGAACTTTTTCGGAGTTAGTTGGGTGTACACATCGCTTCAAATAGCGTATAGCGCAGAGTATATGATAGAATGAAATGATCGTATTGTACCACTACCGGTGCGTGCGGGAAATCGGACGATAGTATCTGTATGCTACAGACTGGTCACGTGCCCGCGCGTGGGTTGCGATCATGATTGTGAATCGTTGCGCTCGAGAGCCATGACGCGGGCTATTAGGCCCTACAACCCCCAGAAACATCAAGGATTATAAGGTCTAATAGCCCATCCTGGTCGTATTTTTGCTGCTGGATGTTAATGGGTTGGCTTCGGTTGAACATTCCTCCAGTAACTTGATCATTATGCTTTCGGTTGGTCGTTGAAGTACATCGCTTGGGGCGGCGAAGCCTTCAACCCGAAGCAAACTGAAAGCTGGACCTTATAAACTATGCCTACTCCAACCCAAGTTCAACCCCATGAAACCCGAAAACCCTAAGCCTAAACCCCGAACCTAAATCCTAAACCCATTCCCCCCCCCTAACAAGGATCGAGGCGCTTGAGGCGCTGGGCTCCCTGGGGCCGAAATCCTCTGAGCGCGCCCTGCGGCTGCTGGCGAGCTGGTGTTGTGGCCTTCAAGATTCGGGTTTCGGGTTTAGGGTCTAGGGTTTCGGGTTTCGGATTTTGGGTTTAGGGTTTCGGGTTGTTGGGTTAGGGTTTGGGGTTTAGGGTTTAGGGTTCAGGGCTCAGGGTTCAGGGTGTAGGGTTTAGGGTTTAGGGTGTCTTTATGTAGTTGGTCTAGGGCTCAAGGTTTGTGATCAGGTTTTGTGTGCTGGTTAGGGCTGCAGGGCTTAGGGTGTATAAGGTATAGGGGTTCAGGGGCTTAGGGTAGATGACATGACAGGCCTTGTTTGCTGGGGAAGATATTCCCTTATCCGAGCACCTGTTTAATTGGGGGGGGCCCTCCCCGCCACAATAAGAAAGGCAGGGTTCCGCAATAGTAAGACCATGGCCCTGCATTGATTCTCTATTAAAAACAATAGGCCGCAGATCCCCGAGGTGCTGTAGCTTCGCAGCTCAGCAAGCAAAACAAGAAGCCAGCCGACAGATTTTGGAACCCCCCCCCCCCCCCCCCGAAAACATTTTATTCAGATGTGGTGGTATTGGCCCGTACGAAATCCCCCGAAATGGAAAGTAGTCTTCCGCCTCTATGCAGGCTGACCTCATCCTCACTGGACCTTCGCAAGGCGGCGTTGCATGCCATACAGCAAGGCTGGCAGGCGGACGACGAGGAGTGTGCCTGGAAGTCTTGAAAATGCGTACGACCTTCTGGTTTTTGTTTGTTGGTTTCAAGGTTTTGCGCACGTTTAGGTTTTGGAGCTTGCGCAGTTTCGCTTGGGGACCTCTTGGGGCCATGCATTGTGCAGCAGCAAGAATCTCAGGTGCTACCGTGCTCCTTGAAGTTTTGCCAGACTTCTCCACTGGAGTTGCGGCTCCACGGCAAGAGGCCCTGGAGGCCCTACATATGTGGACCCCAAAATAGTAGGATTCGAAAAGAATAAGGACCCTAATCAGGTACCCCTAATTGGATTCCCTTAAAATAAGGACCCTTTATAATAAGGACCCGAATAAGGTACCCCCCTAATATCGGAGGCCCTCCTGCATGCCAAGCCGGACCATGTGGGCGTTCTGGACCGCATCGTTGGCGGTCTGAACGTGGGCAACGAGGGTGACCAGCACCTTGGGGCGTAAGTGAGCCCTATAAACCCTAAACCATAAACCCTAAACCATTTGGATCACATACACTATAATTATACGATTCGAGCCCCTCACAGAGGGTAACAGTCTTGACCTTAAGCCCTTTTAGGGTCTCAACCCTAAACCCTAAACCCTAAACCCTAAACCCTAAACCCTAAATGTGAATGATCCCCGAACCACAGCACATTTTGGGAACCCCTTTGTGTCGGCTCCGCCGCACATCGGGGAAACCACTTTAGAACGCCGTGGCCTGTTCACCACATTGGCTCAAGTAATCCCTAGAGTGTAGGTCACCCATAGGTTGGAAGTAAGCGCAATAGCGTAACTGGAAACCGCCCGGGTGCACGAGACGGAGACTGAAGGCGAACATCAGTGCAGAAAACAAGTGCGAGACCATTTGGCTGGTGAGGAGCCAAAGCGTAGTGCAAGCAACTACCCGACCTCACGCAGGTTATCAGCCGTATAGCGGTTGCGATTTCTTGCGACTACTGTACGGGCTGAGCTATGGCACTGCCAACCTCGTCGTCGAGTGCCGACACAACCATGACCTTCGGTGATGGTGATGCTATTGCTGCACCTGCATTGGGCGAAAGCACAGGCTGCGCCGACACAGATGCGGTTACATCATCAGATGATGCCGTTGAGCTGGTCGCGGTTGCGAAGGCGCCCGCACGAACCAGAAGTGGTTTGAGCGTACTGCGTGAAGATGGAAACTCGAAGATGAGTCAAGTTTCACGCCTCAGATCCACTTCCAGACAATCATCGGAACGAACATCAAAGAGATCCAACACTCCAAGTACTCCACGACGAAGAAGAGGCACTTCTCCACGAATCTCTCCACGATCCTCGCCGGACGCCGGACGACCGGAAACGTCACCGCGAAGAGGGTACGGTGGCCCTCTTTTGGGTACCGGCCTCCCCAGTTCGGAACCTCCGGCTGGCGGTAGGAGCGGGCTTGATTCGGGTCCCCCGGTTGAGTCTGCTAACCCTCTAGCGGAACGAATCCGGGAAGAAGGCGAAAGGCGGAAGATGGAAGAGGTCATTGCCATGTTGCGACTGAAGATCGAGGAGATGCAACAGGAAGACTATGGGGCATCACTCAGGATCGAGCAGCTAGAACGCGAACGTGATCAGAACGCGCAACTGGCAGCTCATATCCATCAACGTCACGAAGCTACACTCGCTGAACGTGAGCAAGTCGTTGGTGCCACGATCGCAACACTGGAGCAACATGCTGCCGACAATCATCATCAAGCGACGATGACTCAGGAGCAGTTGATGCACCAGCAACGCGAGATGGCGCAGTACATGGTCAACGTGGAAGAAGCGGCCCATGGTGAAGGAAACACGATAGCTCGAGAATACCAGCGACTTACAGAGGAGCTGAACATTCGAGCACATGAAAATCTGAGAAGGCGAGCCGATCTACAACAAGCCGAAGTCATTGTGGCTCAGATGGAAGATCAGCTGCGAACCTCCGAGTTTGCACGTGAAGCATCCGAGAAGCAGAAGAGCGAGATGCGAGAATATGCTCATCATGAGAGCGTGGCATTGCAGGATGAACGCGATCAGACCAGGCTCTTGAACGTGAACATTCATGGCGTTATCGTTCAGTACCACGAAGAAGAAGAAAGAGCAGCTGCTTTGAGACAAGCTGTGCACGAAATGGAGCAGCGATTGGAAGGCCAACATGCTTCGTTGCCTAGCATCCATGAGGAGCTGCAAAGGGTACGAGCGGAATGCCAATCTCATGAGGACGTCAATCGACGACTGACATCGGAATTGGATGCTGCGAGACAGGTTCAAACGTACAACCGACCTACGTCAGCCGGAACGTCTGAGTGGGATAATGTTTCTTCAGTGCCTAGGGTAGGTGTGCATAATTCGCGTCCACAAAGCGTTCAATCCCGTTCAGGAATAACCCAAGCTTGCAGCAGTCCGGAAGAAGTTGATCGTGATGTGCCAATGTCATCTACGACGGAATCGAGGTTCAAGACATGGGTCCAGAACACCATTCCTGGGGTGGGTTCGGCTTCGCCGGCTCATTCCCAGGGTGGAGATGCCTCAAAGGAGGGTTCGGGTCCCCCGGCTCTTCCCACGAGGCCATCGTTGTTCGGAGGACCACCTATTCCAGTGGCAGAAAGCCGACCGACTTCTACAAGGACATCGTTATTTGGTGGACCTCCCGTTCTCGTTCCAGAAGTACCATCAGTTCCCAACCTGGTTCCGGGAAGGATGTTCACGACAGGTTTGCTGGACTTGCCTCCTGGCTTGGCTACCAGACCACACACCTCACAGTTACTTGCTGATCCACCTACGGCGTCCACGTCCTACCAGTGTGTGCGGCAACCATCGCGTTCGCGGCATACGGGCGAGGTCACGCCTGGAATGGCTTCAGAAATTCCTCCGAATGCTCCCAATCATCCTCAAGATCCTCGCGCAAACGCTTCGACAACTGTTCAGCAAGAAGCTTTACGAAGGCAAATGGATGATCTTCGGCAAGAAATGAGCAGAATGAGAGACACCGAAGCTCGTCTTCGTCGTGAACGAGATCAATGGCGTACAATTGCTGAAGAACAGGAGCAAGAGAATGAGGGTGAAGAGGGAGAGAACGAGGAGGAAGGCGAACCAGAAGAGGACGGAGACAAAACCGACCCTGGATCCTGGAAGCCAATCAAGAAAGGAGGTGGAGGAGGTGATGGTGGTGGCGATCCAGATCCTTCTCCCCACGGTGGTGGTGGAGGAGGTGGCGGTGGATCTGGACCCGAAGATGGACCTGATTACACCGAAGGGCCAAAGATATCCCGAAGAGAGGCCGACAAGATCAACATTCCTGCGTTCCCCAAGGTCACTCACTTGGACGCATGGCAGGCAGCAGTCACCACAAACGTTCTGGCCGCTTGTGCGGATACCAATCAAAGCGACTGGATCAAATGGCTGCAAGAGTCTTTCAAACCGATGCCGGATGTTGAAGGGCTCAATGATTCGGGACATGTCAAGTTCAGAAGCATCGACGTGAAGCTGGCAAGTGCGATGACTCTCATGTTACGGAATGCTGGAGATCAGGCAGCCGATCTGTTCTTGGAAGTGAACCTCAAATCAAACGCGTACATTCGCGGGAACGAATACAAGGTTCTGAAGGGACGACAGATCATTGCTATGATGATGGAAAGCTTCCGCACGCGGGATCGTCTTGACATGGTTTACACGATCGATTACCTGACCAAACTGCAGTATCCTGGGGACAACAAGATTGCCGCATTTAAAGCAACGTGGCTAGAGATCATCTCTCGGATTCGACCTGAAGATGTACCTTCCACGAATGCCCTCCGCGACATCTTGTACCAGAAGATATCAGGATCCTCCGAGATGAACATGGAGCTCAAGCTTTACTATGACATCAAGAGCTATGACGATCCAGAGAGATCACATGATATGCTGCTGAGGATCATGGACCGGGCGGTGCAGAGGAGAAGAGAGAAGAAGAACCTCAACGAGACACAACATGGTCTGAACCAGATGGTTGCTGGGAAGGACCTGCTTGCTGCACCAGCTAGGCCCGATCCCAAAGGGCCTCCCTCATCCGCGCCTGACAAGGACAAGAAGAAGAAGACGAATGAGAGAGGCAAGGACAAAGAAGCTGCGGATGCTGCGCCTGTACTCCCAAAGAGTAAAGCAAAGGCACACGAAAAGGACAAGAAGAAGGGGAAAGGTAAAGGCAAAGAACGATCCCGATCTCCTTCATCATCACGATCGCTGACCGACAAGGAGAAGGCGAAGATTCGTTGCAAATTTCACTTCGGAGGAGGATGCACAGCAGGAAAGAATTGCAAATGGAGTCACAAAGATACGGACAGAGGAAGACCGTCTTCACGAGATGATAAGAACCAGAGAGCGCGAAGCCCGTCATCAAAACCATCGGAACGACCTTGCTTTCAGTGGAGCAAGAACGGATCCTGCAGCCGAGAGAATTGCCCTTTCAAGCATGACCCGGCTAAGGCAGCGCCCGCAACCGGGGAAACCGACGCGAATGCGAAGGCAAAAGCAAAGGCGAAGGCGAAGGACAAGAAGAAGAAGCCTGAACCTGCCGCACCCGCGATTGCGATTCGAGGTCTGCCTGCAGTACCTGTTCTTCGATCCCTGGGTGATGGTGATGGTGATTCTGACGATGAGTCAATTGATGGCGACGCGGCGTCAGATTGCTCCACCGACGATGAGATCGGATCCTATCACAGAGACGTCAAGGACCTCAAGGTTTCCTTCGAACGGGGAACGAAGTTCGTGTCATCGAGGCCGAGGCGATCACACAAAGATAGAGGATTCGCCCCGCGACTTTTTACAGAAGCGAACCTGAAGCACGAGAACCACATCTCGGAGGTCGAGTACGAGAAGCACAAAGCAAGAGCTAGGGCTCGATTGATGGAAGATATGTGTCTGGGCAAAGATGGAGGATGCATACCAGTTAGGATTCCAGGAACCGAGAAGGTGATTGTGTTCAAGTTCGACAACAAGAAGGGGAAATTCCATGAAAGAGCCTTGAGCGTTGATGAGAGTCGTAAGGAACTGATGAAGAACCCGAACATGTGTATGGTCCAACCAGAATTTATTCGCAGGAAGCTGAAATTCATCATGGACACAGGATGCGGACATGACCTTATCTCTTTAGAAAAGGTCGCCAAGCACGGCATCGACACTGCAATGGACTGCGAGTCTACATCGTTCCAAACGGCGAATGGTGTCACTATGACCAACCAGACGGCGGAGTTCTTGACGAAATCCTTCAAGGAGCCCATCAAAGCACATGTATTGGAGAATACACCTTCTGTGCTGTCAGTTGGGAAGAGATGCATGCTTCACGGCTATTCCTTTGTGTGGCCCGCGGGACGTCCACCATTTATGGTGAACGATGCTGGCGAGAGGATACAATTCTTCGTGCAAGGAGACATCCCCTATGTCAGAGTGGGAAGCAAAGGAGCTA